TTCTCTGTTAAGTCCTGGGTTTTAATTCAGTGCCTCTGGAGTAGAAATGAGAACTCTCTGCATGAAGGTCACACTAGAATGAAGGAAGCCATGTAAACACAGGGTGTGAAGCACCATCCTTGCAGCAATTCATGGGGCACTTCATCTGTTTCAATGCCCAGGGACCCTGAGCTCCTGGTTCCAACACACAGTGACTCTACATACAACAGAACAAAACCCTGTCCAGCCCGGCACAATCCTTGTTACGTCCGAGTCCATTACTGCTGCTACTGTGTCAACCCATCTTGTGGAAGGTTTCTCCTTTTCACAGACCTTCTACCTAATTAATCAAGCAGAATGTTCTGGTTTGGGCATCATTAAAAAAAAAAAAAGCAAGGCATCTTTTTCACGGGGCCAATTTACATGATGGTATAACCAGTAGACACAAATGTTAGTGGAATCAAGTTTCTCACGAAAATTCTACTTAATCATGTAATAACGTTATGTGTATAATGATTTACAGTTTTCTAAACCTTGCCATACATGTTAATTCATTTTCTGAAGTCAGCCTGTGACTCAAGCAAGCAGTTAAGATCGTCTCCTTTATGGAAGGAATCGAAAGTTAAATGAAGGTGCACAGGGTTCATTTCGAGGCTAACCCAGAGATCCTGCAACTCTAGTAGTTGGAATCCACCAGTGGAGCTGTGAGAGAAAGATGGGCGATCCGTACTGTACAATTTACAACCTTGGAAACCAGCTAGAAGAATCGAGTCCGTTTTGACGTGATGGCAGTGAGTTTTTTAAAAAGTGGAAGGATGTACCCACAGTCACAGACTAATAACTCATAGAGACAGGGAAAGGGCACACTCAACTCCTTCAACGCACTGACTCCTTCACTCATTCACGCGTGCGGCCTTCAATGAAGGACTCACAGATGAGTAAGACCTAGCCCCTACCAATGAAAAGCCCACCCAAATCATAACAAAAACATGAAAAGAACTGCTGCTAGGATGTGTCGTCAAATCGCGTGATGAAAAGTGTAGCAGGCAAAAAACATGCAAGCCTTCAAGACAAGGTCACTTCTCAAATATGTATTTCAATGAAGGCAGAATTGGCTAGGCTCAGGAGGAGTGAGGGTTGGGAGGAAAGACACCAGGGCTATCTGATTTCAGACAGTAAGAAAAGTGTGCGTGATTGCTGGCAAATGCTAAGGAGGAGAAGGTTCACAGTGTTCACGTCATGGCCTTGGATGCCTCACCTTGTGGACTAAGCTGAGGACAGCCAAGGTTCAGAATTATGCTAATCTCCAAAAAGCTCCTAGGCTGAGCTCATGTCCTGTGTAAGACAGCATCCTGGTGGCAAATTTCACTGCTGGTGTCTTCAAGAGAGAATGACTCAAAGCCTGGGTTTGAATGAGTAAACTGATCTCTGTAACTCATGTATGTACATAACATCTTCATACACCCAAAGGGATAGAGTTTATACTCCTAATACTACATATAATATATGTATCCACATTAACAATCAGCAACGTGGACAGCATTCACACGCAGAGGCACCTACACAATGTGTATGTCTAGACTGACCCTGCAGGACCTGTTTAGATGGAGACAGGTTTATTGAGGGAGTTTACTTGTGCAGGACAACCATCTGTTCTAGAGGATTCAGTTAGTCATTTGCCTGCAGAGGAGGAAATCAAGGTGGGCTGGACAAGATCGATTCCAAAGGTACCTTTAAGCTCCCGGGTTCTTTGTATTACAAGTTCACTTGCATGAAGCCATTTTCTCATTTTCTCCATAAATAAAACCTCACAGCCCTGGAGAGATTATTTCTCTCTGCCGTCTTTTGTGCTCAGGCAGAAAATGTATTATTGATTTCTGATACAGTCATAGACAAAATGACTTCAAGAAAAGAACACGGAATGAAGAGTCAGGAAACGTAAATTCTCTTCCCAAATGTCTCCTTGCCTCCCCCCTTTGCCATGGCTGTGTGACCTTGGACCAGGGGCTTCTCTGGGCTCCAGTGTGCTACTCCTTATCGGAAAAGGCATGGCTAAGCTCTCCAGGATCCCCTCCCAGCTCTAAAGGTAGTTAACCATCTCCCCACCAAAACCTCCAAGACCTCGCTTATCTTTGCAAGCTTCAGAATGAGGACCAAATAAACTGGATTCAAATGATCTATTTTCTAACCACAGAAGATTCTACTTCATCTCACTCTTTAAAACCATGTATATCTTGCATAATTCAAATGGTCAGTACTGTCACTGGTTGCTGGGGGCTTAAATTATACACTGTTACTATTTGGGGAAAATTTAGACTGGGTCCAGCCTGGGATCACTGGCTACTAACAATAAGCCCCTAAAGAGAGAAGGGATATAGAGGCCTCTTCAGACAGACCTGGTTTAATGTGTTAAGCCCAAGGCTTACAAAAAAAAAAAAAAAAGCATGGATTGTGTATATTAAAGAGTTACAGAAACAGCAAGGGACCCAAAGCCCTCAGCAAATTCCCCTAGAAGCCACTGACCTTGGCTGCACTGCCAGGGGTCAGGCATCCCCCCAGGAGGTTCTCAACGTGAAAGCTTTTCTGAGGGTTCCTCGACAAAGGAGATTGCTCATCTAGATAAGCCCACCTCTCTTAATTTCAGAAGAGAGACTGATCTGTCCTCTGATTTGTGGAGATTACCTGTGTGGCCTTTGAACCCACTCCCAGCTTGCAAAATCAACCACCACCAAAATCTGTCGTTGACCGGAGCCCTCCAGAATGCAACTGTTCTCATGTCCGCCTTCTGGTCCTCCACCCAGCAGATTTCCAGTCGCCCAGGGCCAGCTAGCCATTGCTCCCCACTGCTCTGTGTCCACACTCTCAGGCAGGCAGGAAAACAGAGACAGAACACTCCATCGACAGCCCAGGCCCCAAAGAGTAATTGTAGCAAATTGTGGAAAGACATCTTTTCAAAATAAAGATCTCATAAGCACAAGCATCCTAATGGGCAGCTCTCTCCTGGCCAGCTGGGTAAACCCACATGGTTGCCACATGCCTGCAGGCTCTGTGTTCTATGTCTCGGAAAACCCACCCTGGGAAGCAGCACACTGGTGGCCCATTGGAGCCTGCCTAACTTGAAAAATCACAACACGCTGCTTTCTTTACAAGAGTGGCTGTTGATGTCTTGATTCTGGCTTAGAGCAATCACTAGGAGCCTTGCCCACTGTCCAGACGACCTCTCCCTTTCCTTTCCCCCTCCTTGAAGGCAGCCATGCATCTACCTGATTAACCCACCGGCCACTGCTCCCAGTGCAGAAAGAAGGACAAACGAACACAGTCCATCAAGCAGGAAGCCAGAGCCTTGGTCAAGGTGCCCACCCTCTGGCCAACCACCCCCACCCCCACCCCGTTGTCCAAGGGGCTGAGGGTTCTTCATGTGGCATTTCCTGCCAGCTTACTGTATTAACGCATGAATGGGCTATTGCTCGCCAACTATTGGAACAAGCTGTTTCAAATGGCATCTCTGTTCCTCCTTTATCTGGACTGCCCAGCCAAAACCTCATCTCCTTAACGTGTGTTTATGAAGATTGGAAAAAAGGAGAAGAGAAAGAAGATGAAAGGAGGCAGAAGAAAACAGGCAGCTTTGACAACAGCAGTCGCTCTTTGAAATATCGAGGGAGGAGAGAGGCAACGTTAGGAGAAGGGCTTAAAAGACTCCGGTAAATGGCCCCAAGATTTTGGTTCAGCCTAACAATGTATTCCTCGGGAGGGCGTGTGAACTTCAATCCTGCCTGTCTGCTGTTGCGAACCACCATCAATTCAGTCTCACAGGCTCTGCCTCTATCAAACCTGTGCGGTTGCTAGGATTTTTTTCCCCCAGAGAAGCTTCAGGAGAAGTCATCTTAAAATTGGTGCCCTCAGACCCCCTGCTGCCGCCACCCTCACCCCTCATCCCCTTCCCAGCGGGCAGCATCTCATTAAAATGGCAAGAAAGCTCTGCCCCCCGCCCCTTGGGAGTGTGTTCGGATTGGGGGTTGGGGGGGGAGAGAGGCATCGAGGCTAGCTGGGATTCCTGGGATTCTGATCACAAAACAACAGCAACAGCAAAATGGATTCTATACCGGTGATGTCTTCGTCAATACAAAGAAACTGCTTCACGTGAAGGTAAATGCAGGCCAGGAGGGTGGGGGTTGCTCCACAAAGACCCCGCCACAGACCCCAGACCCGGGGAGAGCGCGCGCGCGCGCACGCGCGCGCGTGCACACACACACACACACACACACACACACACACACACACACACTCTCTCTCCAGGGAGTTCCGGTGTGAAGGGGGGGAGCAGAAAACGCATCCCCTTCACCTGCCTGAGCTCAGCCATCAAACCGAAAAATGTCACATCCACAAAGTCAGAAAGCACGGGCAGGGCTGAGTTCACACCATCAAGAAAGGTGAGTGGCCGCCTGGCATTTTAGGGGGCGCCCCATGGGGGAAGGGGAGGCGATGGCCACCCCCTGCCCCAAGACCAGCAGGGCAGCCACGGTCCCCTGGAAGCAGCAGGCTCGGCTTCGTGGGCACCGGCAGATTCACAATGTCACCTCGCAGGGAACCGGCCACTACGAGGGGCTGGTGGCTTTATTCATGCTGCTGTGATGCTCTTTGCAGCAAGGGGCAGGCGGGTCTGGTGCCTTGGCACGAGACAAACGCCGGAGGTGCGGGCGCGCGCACACACACACACACACACACACACACACGCCGATGAGCCGTTCATTCTAAGGCTCTTGCACTGTCTCCAATACACGGGCATAAGCTCCCCGCGCTCTCGGCCGCGCTCTCGGGGGAGCTCGGGCCCCGCCAAGCAGGGCACCGACTGCACGGACCCAGCCGCGGGGGCTCAGCCCGGGCAAACCCCAGATCCCCACGGGTATCCAGCCGCGTCCTCCCGCCGGTGCCTCGGGCCCGAGCCCCGGGACACGCGCCCAGCCCGTGCGCCCTGACCCCAAAGCCCCTGGGGGAAGACATCCCCCAACACGTCCGCTCACCCTCAGAGCCGAGAGATCGATTTCATCCAGGCTGCGCGCCGGAGAGTCGCTCGCCATGTCGACTTCTTGGCCGGAGAACTGGACCACAACCACCTGGAAGCGTCTCCCTTGGAAGTGCCCCCTGGGTCTATGTCGCGGGCGTCTTCATGCGGGTGTCGCGCCGGAGGCCCCCGGGCCCAGCCTCGCGCGCCCCCCTCCCGGGTGCCCGGTCCTCGGCGCGGCTGTCCGCCTGGGTCTGGGTGCTCCCCCGGCGCGGACCTCCAGCCCCGGAGCCGCGGTGCGTGTGGGCTGCGCGCCCCGCTCGGCTAAGGGCGCAGGGGCTGCGTGGGTGGATTTAAATGGGACATGCTGCTTGGCTGGTGCGTGGATGGCGGCTGCCGGGGCTGTTAGAATGAGACACATCGACTCCTCCACTCAGCTGGGGGTGGGGGTGGAGAGCCACACATAACTGTCTATCACCGCTTCCTGGGAGGAGTAAAGGCAGAGGGAGGAAAAGAAAAAGAGGCGAAGGAGGCGTGGTCTCCGGCAGAAGCCAGGCCGCGCTTCCGGACCCGTCCATCTGAACCAGCGGCCACGGGGCGGAGCCTGCGCCCTTGACGCCCCAGCTTTTGCAGCTTGATCGGACTGATCGGACTGGGTTGGGGGGGGCGATCTTGAACTCCGGGTGTGTTTAGCGTGGGAACCAGATTCCGTGTGTGTGTGTGTGTGTGTGTGTGTGCGCGCGCGCGTGCACAGCTCCTGAGCTGCAGCAAAATGGCCCGTTCAGTCACATCCTGGGTTTCTTGGAGGGGTTCAAATGGCCTAGTGTTTAAAAAACCTAGAGAGGTGTGGAGGGGGAAGATCGACGCTCTCCCTCCCCCAGTAATTACTTGTGAGGCTGGAGTAGCACTGACTGGTGCAACCGGTGCATATAAGGACTTGTGAGCGAGGCTGGGGATCCGCCTCCAGCCGCCGAGCGCACGGGGAGCAGCGCGCACGCACAGGGGCCCAGCCCCTCGCTTGGGCAGCTGGCGGGGGACCCGGGCTGCCTGAGCCCACCGGGATCCCAGATGGCACTTCCCTGATGCGGGTCACTCACCGCTTTGGGATTGGCAAGGTGGGCCAGAAGCGGGGGCTGAGGGGGGAACTGGAAACGCGGGGCGGGGCGTCCTTCTGGCATCGCCACACCCAGGACCGGCCCCTGCTGCAATTCCCCACGGAAACGACCGAATGGAGCCGAAACTCGTGCCCTCCGGGTGCAGCGTCTTGAAAGCTTCAGGTAAACTGTCTGATGCCAGTTCTGCTTCAAGGCTGCACCCGGGGCGCTCAGGTCCCGCGTTTCCCTTTGCTGGCGGTGTTTCCGCGGCTGACCTCCTGGGATCGATGGAGAAACTTTGGCCAGGGGATAAAATGCACCTTGCTAAGTAGAAGCCTAAGAGCTTTGATCCTTTACCCACTTCTTCTTCATGTTCACCGTGGTCTACACGGCCTTCTGTCATCAAGAGTGTGAAACCACTTCCCTCGGCGTTTCCTGCGTGAGTCTGTCCACTCCGGCCTCGGCCGCACAAAATTTTATCCAGGAAAAGAAAATGCTAAAACCGAACTTTTTGACAAATACAGCAGTATCAATGAAAGCATTCCTTGGACTTAGGCCGGGAAGATAATCTACTTATGTCCAAGTGCATCTAGGGTTTGTTTAATTATGTGATATAAATATCAGCCTCAGAAAGAGGCTTATGAATGAATGAATGAATGAATGAATGAATGGATGAAAGCCTTCAGTACATCAGGACTGTGGACGTGAAGGGACCTTTAAACCCTATCCGATATACGATGCATTCACACTCATTGCTTTACTGCATTGCATTGTAAACCATGCACCATGAAACCACAAAACAGCTCTAGTATCTCAATGGCCACTAGGAGCTTTTGCCTTTAAACATCATAGTATAGCAAATTCCAACATACGATAGTCAACGTGTGATTGTACTTTTCATTTTCTAAGAATATCCCCCATCTCATTGTAATAACCAAGTAAGTGACCAAGTAATGTCACAATAAAGCAGAGAATTGTCATTTCCCATCATTCTCTTGTGTAAAAATCTCATATTTTTTAATCCTTCACCTAGACGATAAATGCATATACTGTCTCAGTATAGAAAGAAAATTATTACGATTAGAACTACAGTTGTGTGTAAAATAGTAAAATGTCGTATCTCAGTCACAAAGGGACAAATGCTATATGGTGCCACTGTTGTAGAATGAGGCTGGCATTGGGGTGGGGGTAAGACTGAGGAAAACTGGATGAAATATGTTTACGGCATTGAAGTCTATGGGGGAGAGAATAGTCTAAAAGTATTATCTTTTAGGGCATTAT